TGGCCCTGCTTTCCAGAGACAAACTTATTTGAGAGCAGAAAGAATACATTTATCTTTGTTCCTTCCTGTAACTTTCAGAGCCACAGAAATGAGACGAAGAGACCATCAGAGGTGACACTCTCAAAAACTGGTACTTGTAAGCTAAAATTCACTAAGAATTGCCTCAATGTTTCTACTCACATACACCTAAATCGGGTCCACAAATATCAGCTGAAGGATTTTGATTAGACAAGGAATTAAATTGCTTCCCCAAAGATAACATAAGACAAGGAAAACAGATAAAGTTGGACAGAAAGCTGGGTAATCATCCTCCTGAACTCTCCAAGTCAGAAACTGTCATCAGTGTGCTGTCTCAACACAACAGGATCCAAGATTCCTGTCTGCAGTTGTCTTTCCTAATCAGGTCTCAGTACAGTGAAGTGAAAGTGTTTGTATCTCCACACAGTATTTGGAACATGCAGTCTTACTTCCTGCAACAAAAGCCAGAAAAGCATCAAAATGATGTTTCTTGTCTTCAGGGAAAGAAGACAATCAGAGGGGACCTTGGACATAGTTTTGGGGTACACTTGAGAGGGCAACCATCAGGCTACCCTGTCCTTACATGACAGGATGCAGCATAAGGGAAACTAATGATTAATGAATGTGGTTCAACTGCTGTTCAAGGGATGTGGCAACAGCTACAGAAAGCTTAAGCTTATTTGTGACTTCGTTACCTTGTCAACGCTGGGTTTAAAAAAAATAAAATCACCTCACAACGTTTCTGTAGCTTATTAAAAATATTCATCAGTCCTTTCTCGACACACTGAATATGACTAGACACAAGAAAGACATATGGAACAGTGATGTATTAAGGGCAACTGAATCCACTCTTCTTAAAGGCAAGTCAAAGCTAGACACCCAGAGTTACCCAACAGAGATGCAAAGGTAGTGGCAGTTCTCATGCATAGTTTATAGCTCATCCATTTCTGAGAGGAATTGCCATGTATATTTCCATACTACCATGAGGCTGAATCAATCTGTTTATCCTGATCCAAGTATTAGGATGGAAGAATACCAGGTTGGAATCTAAGACAAATTTTCCCTTCTACAGCAAAAGGTCTGACAAGATAAAACACCCCAGCTCTTTCTGAGAGGTCTCATGCCACACACTAGTTCTGTCTCACCAAACCCAATGAAAGCCAACTAATTAGATCATCATGCTCCTTCTACCACATGAACTGCCTTTGTTTGCTTCAGGCCGATAGCAATCCATCTGTGATCGAGATTCTGACAATTACCACTCTGGAACAAAACCACAGCGTGCTTACATGAGACAAAGAGTGCCTTGAGCCTGCCATGAACCAGCTCCACTTCACCAACAAGAAGTTTATTTATAGGGCTATCACAGCACTTCAAGCCGGTATTTGCTGTTGCCTATCACCACATTTCTATTGCCAAAGACAGGCATGTGTTTGATGAGTCCATACATGCAGTTTTCAGGAGAGCAGCAAGAGGCACATAGCTCCCTGCCCATCAGCAGCACAGGGGACTGGCACTGCCTCCTCTAGGAGTACCTGTGCAAATCCTGCTACAAGGCAGCATTTCCTACCTGTCACAAACACAAGATGCTGTCAACTGCTGGTAACAGATATTCAAGCGCAACTTACATGATGCTCACAACATCTGTGGATCGAATATCAGAGAAGATGCCCTTTTCCTATTTCATGCATGAAAAGTCACCACAGTTTCCAAAAGCACACAGAGAAGAATTTCCACAAAACATCAAAACAGCATAAAATAAACACTAAGCAAAACATGAGCTATTGTAGAGGCCATATGAACAACTTAATTTATCCCAGTAAAACTCAAAAAATGCTTTTATTAATTATCTTAAGCTGCTGGGAAACATTTAGCAATGCCACAGAAAATTTGATCTAGCTACTGAAATTAAATCCAGTTTGACAAAGTATGCAGGGTCTCAACCATAATATTCGAAGAACTTCACTTAACCACTTGAATAAGGAGTCATGCATTAGGCAAAGCTCCAACTTCCCCCAAAACCCAGAAGTGCTGCAGTACCAGATCAAAAAAAATTTTATGACGACATATTTGTCATTCCTGCTGCCTTCACTCTCCCCAGGGAATCCCAAATCTGATATTAAGATCATGACAACATATTACATGAGGCAGGGGCAAAAATACGGAAGATGGGTAGAATGTGTTAAGGTGGGCGGGGGAGAAGACAGCAGAAGATGCATGACAACATCTGCAATAAAGCCCTTGGACCCAAATTTGGCAGCCAGAAGAGTTTAAGAATCAAGTAAAAAGAGAGAGAATTTCTGCATGGAGAGAGGGAAAAAAAAAAAAAAGAGGGGGAGGTGTTTAAAAAAGAACCTACATTCAGTTCAAGGCAGTAACATACTTTGAATCCCAGCTTTGCTGTATTTTCCCCCCCAATAAGATCTCAAAATTCCTCTGAGCAACAGAGGACAAGAGGAAGCTAAAACCAGTACAGAGAGTATCCTACCTCTGAAAAATCTCCTGCAGGGTTTCCCTAGTGAAGGCGTTGCTGTCCTGGAAGACGTTGTTGAGAGCATGGAGGGCACACAGCTCCTTACGCTGCTTCTCATGGTAAATATGCAGTGGTGGTGGCTGAGGTGGCTCTGGTGCTTCCGATTTGGTCTTGTCACCTTTCCATGGCACACAACTCATTTTCTCACAGGGCGGGTGGAGAGTAGGTGATGAGAAACGAAGGAGGCTGAAGTTTCTTCCTCCACAGTCACAACAGCAGCCCACTGCCCCTTTCTTTTGTAGGCTAGCACTGCTTCCAGCTCCCAAAACCTCCTCTTGTGCTTCAGTTTATTTAGTAATTGCCTCTGACGGCTGGTTTTAAAAACCACATAGAGATCTACAACATAGTTTTCCTCCCTCCACCCATACCCCATAAAATGTAATACTTCCCTCCCCCCCCCGCCCCCCACTGAAAAAAGAAGTCAAAAGATATTAATCCCCTTAGTCTCAAGGTACCAGATGGAATTTATCACATCGCTCCTTTTCTTCCATCTCCTTTAGTCTACAGTGCCACTAAAAAAGGTACCCAGAGTAGGTAACAAAGAGAGGCCCACCCCTAAAGTGGCAAAGTGAAGAAGATGAAGCCAGCTTCTGGTGCTGCCTATGGGAGCACACGGTTGTTAAGGACTTATCAGCTGCATTCCTCTATGACTAAATCCAGGCAAGAAGATGCCAACAGCTCGGGAAAGGAAACCGTTTCTTGCTAGGCCACAAAATAAAACAACACCTAGGTCCAGGCTCCGGGGAAGGCAATTCCTCACAAGTCACCCTGCACTCTGACAAAGGGAGGTCTCCGTTAGCAATGAGAAAAGACAGCACAAAGCCCGTGGGGAGCGAGGAGAGGGCAGGTAGCGGGCAGGTAGCAGGCAGGACCAGCCCCGAGGCCTGCCTCGCACCTTCCCACCCCACACTCACACCACCACAACAACCACCACCACCACCACACCACAGCAACCACCATAACCACCACAACAAAAACAACTACCACCCCACCCCCGCGGGCGGCAGCCGCTCCCCACAGCCCAGGCCCAGCCCCACAGCCCCCGCCTAACGCTCCCTTCCTCCCCCCTCCACAGCCTTAGCCGCCTTCCTGCCCCTCAGGGCTCGCTGGCGGCCCGAGCCTCCTGCCCTTCCCCCTCAGGAAGCACCCGAGGGCAGCCGCCGTGGCCCTGGCCCCGCCACCTTACCAGCTCCTCAGCCCCCCGACCGCCCCACACCGACAGCCGTTAACGCATGCGTGCGGGCCGCCGCTCGCTCCGCTCTTACACACACCCCCCGTGACCCCCTTCCCCCGCCCCCTGACGTTAACGGGCGGCCCGAGAGGAAAGGAGCAGGGTGGGCTTGGCTTTCCTGCGGAGCAGAGAACCGGTGTCTGCTCCGCGGGTCGTCCGGGAGCCGCGGAGAGCGGCAGGGTTAGCTGTCCGGGCGGGGAATGCCCCGTCGCGCAGCTCGTTCCCGGCCCCCGTGGCTGCTTTAACCTCAGGCGGGTTAATTTCCCTCCTGAGCTCCACTTCCCCTCTCGGCCGCGGGGTTAACGATAGCGCGGAGACTCACGCGGCGATAAATCAGCCGAGGCGGCTGGAGCGGTTTTACCCCCTGATGAATAAACATCAGTCCTTCCTGCCGAGCTGGAGCCGGAGGGGGGGAAGCGGGCGGGTGGCCCGGTGGAGGCACAAGACACGCCGGTTCCCCGCCGGCCTGCACGCAAAGCCCCTCATCGGCGGGCCTTCTCCCCGGTTGTCCCCTCACGGCCTGAACACAGAGCCTGAGGCTGCGGGGGGGCCTTTACCGACCCCACAACCGGCCGAAGCCCCGACTGCTCGGCGACACCCGTCACCTCAGCGAAGCGCTCGCTGGTTGAGAGGGATTCCCGGCGAGCTCCCTCCTCTCTCCATTGGCTGGCACAGCTGTCTGTCGAAGCTTCCTTCTTTTTCATTGGTTTCTCGTCAGAAAAAGCCCACCCACCAGGGCCGGTCTTTCCCATGTTTCTTAGTCCCACCCAGTTGCTCAAGTCTTCTTATCTGATTGGCCCTTAGTGTTCTCTGTCACACGGGCCAGCTCTCCTATTGGCTAGAACAGCCCGGACACGTCGAGCGGTCTCTGTTGTGCGTGTGTATATATAGAAAACAAGCCGAGCTGGCAGTGGCTCTCCCATTGGCTTCGCGCGCTTCGTAGGGGTGTGGCCCTCCCTCATGAATAACCATTACCTCGCTCACCGTCGTCGTGGCTACAGGCTAATGACCCAGCTCCTCCTCCGCTGATTGGCTAGCACCGCCTCGGCGGGCCTGGGGCGGGGCGGGCGCACCTCCCAGGGTGGAGAGGCGGGGCAGGAGGGCAGGGATAGGGAAGATGGCGGCGGCGGAGCGGAATCGATCCCCGGTGGGGGGCTCCCCGGTGCCGGCCTGTATGTTCGCCCCGGAGCCTGGCTCCCCGGGTGGAGGGCCTCTTGTAGCAGCGGCCGCCTGTCCCCTCCGCGCTGCCTTCGACGCCGAGGACGGTGAGGCACTCAACGGCGAACCCGAGATCGACCTCACCAGTAAGGTAGGCCCGGCGACCGCCATCTCCCCGCCGGGCCCCTCGCTGCCCTCGTCCTGGCGCCCCCCTTTCCTGTGGGACTGCTCCCCCGGGGCGGCCCGGCAGCCGAGGCCAGCCCCTCTCCTCGCTACCCTTCACCTCAGGAGAGCGAGGGGCAGGGGACTCGTCTACCCCTGCAGGAGGTGGGATATCGTGCCGTGGCCCCGTGGGTCTCAACATCACCCGGCCGGGTGGCAGAGCCTGCCGGGCCGTGTGAAGGCGGCCGGTAGAAGTGCTGTAAACTTGGGTTAGGGCCGAGAGCGAGCCGTGCCCTGGCTGGGAAAGGAGGGAGCCAGCAGGCTTGTCAGCCCTGTTCCTTCCTTCCCCTCTCTGGGGAGGTGCCTACGGCGGGTGTTGCGTCCTCTTAGCGAGCGCAGGGGTTGAAGCTGACGGCTGCCTTAGCGTCTAACGTTTTACCTCTGCGCTGGTTCTCTGTAGTTATCTCTGCTGCCAGTCGTACTAGTTCCTGGGGCTTTCTTTACAATCGTAGAAGCAGGTCAGAGTTTGTAACTCGTTGAGCATGAGGGCTCAGAGACAAGGGTGCCTTGCTCTTTCATACCGGGTTAAGTCAGCACAAAAAGAATTGTTCTTGAGCAGCTTTTTCCTAGGAATTGAATGGTGAAACTGTGTGGTGGTCTTATTTCTGTCAGAATCTGTTCTCATTTCCATCTTGCATTTTTGTAATACATGTATGCCAGGGCCTGCCACAGACTACATCTTCCACCCTATCTTCTAATTCCACCACCCCCCCCCCCCCCAATTGGCTGGTTTCTTTAACTGTTAGCTGCTGCTGCCAAGGGTTTGTATCGTGGTACCGTCTCCCACTCCAGAGTGTCCTGAAAACTTGTTTTGGTCTGCTTGTAACTATGTGATCCAGAAGTCAGCGTAGCTGGTGTATTCTCCTGGTTTTCTGACATCCTTCCTCTTCATGCTTCCATTTGGAGTTGTTCCAAAGTCCTGGATTTTCTTGCCCCCATGGAAAAATGGAGAAAGAGAAATTGTGATGTGTGGGTGTGCAAAAGCTTTTGTTTGAGGGAATGACTGGATATTTTACAATGTGGTGCTGTATTAAAACAAGTGTTATGAAAATGTCTGAAAAGATAGTCAAGAACAGAAATCAAGGCTGCAGTATCTATTGAGCCACCTGTTTATGCCTTAATGAGCTGGACAAGATTTTGATACAGGATGCCAATATTGATCTGTGCTTTGTCTTGGATGTGGCTGATGTGGAAGAGGGCACAGGAGGACGCCGAGGGCTGTGTCACTGATTCTTGACAGCCAGGAACCTGACCAAAACTCTTGACGAAGAGAGAGGAATGTGTTTCTCCCACAGTCTCCATTTGTGTTGTCAGCCTGTCTCCCATTCCTAGAAATCTGCAGGCACTATGAAAGCGATAGGTAAGCATGTTTTTGACCTTTATTAAAGTTACTTTTCCATATAACAATGTGCAGCTGCTGTCTTTTCCTTAGACCTTTCATTCACCCCTCTCTTGGATGAGAGCTAAAAGTATGGGCTCTGTCCTACCTCTCCATGTTAGTCTCCTGCTATGTGTTCAAAATGGCAATCCCATATGGTGAGAATGCAGAAGCTAATGTGCCCCTCCCTTCTGATCCCCCATCTTTCCTGTCTTCCCAGTTGAATTGTTGCCCTTCAATTCCTGCTTAAACTGGCGATTCCCACTGCAATCTGTTTGTTTGCTAGTTGCTACCTCTGTCCTGTCTGACCCACCCCCTAGCTGTGTTGCATATGTTTCTCATTGTTCTCCCGCAGGGTGTTCATTGTAGGGTGGGCTTTGTTTAGAGAGAAGCACCTTGGGATTCAGTTATCAAGTGCATCTTGTCAGCTGGTCAAGCAAACACTTTGATTCATCAGCACAAATTCATTATCGTGTTGATCTTAGTGGGTGTTTATTTTCCCTCCACTACTAACACACTGCAGTAGTAATCATCTTTCAGGATAAAACCATATCACACAAGGCTATTAGTGAAGAGATGATGGTTATATTAGATCTACATTGACAACAGAACGTTATTAGCACTCGAACTATATATGTCCACAGAAACGGAAAGCGAAATATATTACAGAAGGTGCCTTTTCCCTGACTTCCAAATGGCTAGTGGTTGCCTTCCAGCCATGGAAAGCATCAGTCCAATAAAGAGCAGCACTACATACCACATAGTATTTCATTTTCCCTTAATCTTTATCGTTTTCACACCTCATGGATATGGAATGCTTCTTTTGTAAGGACTTCCTGCAGTAGTGCTGATGTACCCTGAGCTCAATCTCGCTGGTTTCTTGAAAATGCATCTTTCAACTTGACCCCTGGAGTAAGCTCAGAAGCTGTAGCTGTTACCTATCTCTAGCATATGTTAATCCCAAAGCTGATCAGAGGAAAGGTGAGAAAAGCCACCTCTCCCCAGAGCTTGGGAAGGGACTTTAGAGATGCCATCTCAAACTTGAGAGATATATTTCCTTCTGCTGTCATAAGAATAAAACAATAACTGGTTGTTACTTTCTTTGCCCTATAGGAAATCTGAGGTTTCTAGACCCCACATGGCTCCCACTGTTAACTGCTCAATGCCTCGCAAAGTGGAAAGAACAGAAATGGAAATTTTTGACTTTGTGAAAACCTCTGAAAACCACAGCTATGTAGTGCAAACGTGGAGGGGATTGCTCAAAGCTAAAAAGCAGAGAGGCCAAGATGGAGGGCCTCTCTTTGACCAAAGAGATGGCAAAGAACAGGCTCCCTGTGTCCAAGAAGCTAGCTGAAGAGATCTTCAAACCAGAGAGTAAAGTCTTGCAGTGACCTAGGAAATGGCAGAACTGGCTGTGGGTGCAGAAGCCATTAGAAACACTGAACAACACTGGAAGGTGTGATCAATGAAAGCTGCTATTGGTTCCACACATCCTTCTCTTGACACCCCACTACACTGCATCATCTGTAAGCTTCATCGGTCCTAGGGTAGACTTTGGAGGCTGTCTACCAGTGGAACACCCTTCAACAGCACCTTGTCTGGCAGTGAAAGCAGCAGAGTAGGGGGAATGGTGTTTTGAGCTGATGTGTGTGGGTACCATACTGTTTGAGCCTTGGGCCCTCCTACCTGGCGCCATGAAGAAAGGTGACAGAGAGCTGCTTGTCTGAAATATCCACTCACACTTTAGACAGCACCCTGCCCAGGCACACTGCTGAAGCATTTGAACTTTTAGGAAAATAAAGTTGGTGATGAGACCTGAAGAAACTGAAGTTAGTGTGGCTCTATACTGGTGGCCCGTTATTTTGTTGATCTTTATGACAGCCTGTTTAATAGATCTTCTTAAGTCCCAGTCTGTGCTGGTGCACTAGCCTAATCAGTGAGCCTGTCTGCTGTGCTTCCAGGAATTCCTGAAAGTGCTCGCTGGGCAAAACAAGCTCTACATATCAACACACAGCCTTCCATTTCTGTCCTGATCAAGCCTTTGAACAGTTGCTGGTTTCCATCTAAATATATTTACATCCAGTGATCTCCTTTAAGAAGAAGATGAACCCAAAAGAGCAAATAATAAAGGCAAAACTCAGTTGTTTGCGGCATGAAGTGAAAAGATTATGTGGCCTTCCACATTGGAGTGCTTTGCTACCCTTTGCAGACCATGCCAAGCAGTTAAAAGACTTAGGGCATGTGTCTCAGAGGCACGTGAAGGTCTCTGTTGTAGCTGCCTGGCCCTTGCAGACACATGCATCACATGTGAGACCCTTAACATTTGAGGAGAGTGTTGCTTTGTCTGCCTTAAAGCTTCCAACCATGCTTAATGGCTTGCTGTCTGTGCTTCAGTTTTCCAGATGCATGCATTGCTCTAGTTTTGAAAGCTGCTTAAGTGTTATTTGTGGGGTTTGGGTTCCCTTACACTCTAAATTCCTAATAAAGGTCTTCAGCAACTATGTAGGTAGTAGGGGCAGTTCTTCCTTGAATACACATTGTTTAGCTGTGCTAGCAAGTCACTCTGTGTTAGTAGAGAATGTTGGGCAGGCTTGATGATGTAATCATTATGAACTGCTTCAAAGTATATGTTTTAGGCAAATCTAGCACAGATTTTAGACTTGCCTTCATGTGTAGTAAAGGAAAGTACATTGTTCTGAGCATGGTTTCAGACCATGTATGTAAGAACAGCTAGTGGAAATACAGATTTCATTCAGTGTTGTAGCATGGCACAAGTGCACCTCCCCATAGGGCTCTTGGTAGGTGGTAGACTTTACAGCTTGTACCAAAAGTGCCTTTTTTTTTTAGCAGAAATGCATATTTGAATTGCAACAGCTAGAGAGCCACTGTACCAGGATGCTCAGCCACCAACAGTTTATAGGTAGTCAGGGAGCAGGTGGCCAACTGGCCCTGAGTGGGTAATAGAGGTCTCCTTGGTCTGCCACTGCCGTTCCACCACTGTGGCCGCTCTCTGCAACTGTCCTCAGCTGTTCTAAGAAAAATCCTGAAGCGCTGTTGTCTTGTCCTCATTTTCCACTTTGTTCCTGTCTACTTTTTCCTCCTCTTGCTGCCTCTGTAGGGGAGATCAAAGGAAGTTGTGGTTGTTGCAATAACTGCAGTCAAAGCTTGGTGGTAACACAGCTGCTGGCTTGCTGCTGTTGGTAACACAGCTGCAGCTCTCCACTGGTGAAATGCCCAAAAATGCTCATACAAAGTGCTTTGTTACATCTGCCTCTCAGCACTGTAGCATGAAGTACTTGGAGTTTTGTTAGGAGTTTGAAAATAATGCTTATTTGTGTTCTCTCCTTCCCCTCTGCCCCCTCAGAAAAGTATGGGGGGATCAAGTATGTGAAAGACTCGTGAGATGCTCTAGGTTTTGGTGCCTAGGTGTGCTCTGCAGCAAGGTCTGGCTGATTTCCTCTGGCTGTCCTGTCATGCTCTGGGGGAGCAGCAGCACTGTCTGTAGTGGATTCTGGAATACCCAGCTAAGGAATTTGTTTGGAGGAAATATCTCCTCCCCTTTGTTTTCCTTGCATGGATACATGTATTACACAGAAGAAGGATGTTCACTTAAATGTGGCTTCTAAACACTGGTTACTTCAAAAAGAGGTGCTTGGTATTCTTACGTGCTTTGAAGTATATCTTGCAACATAAATGAATTCTGAGCTCAGACAAATAACCTTGTGCAGTGTCACAAGGAAATAGCTGTCAGTGAAGCTGGTTTAATAAAAACAACTGAAAGCAAACCACCAAAAAGCGGTCCTTGAGAAAGAGCTCTTCTCTTTCAATAAAGTACATGGATTGATGGTCCTTATAACTGAAGCTGGTTTTGAAATTGTTTGCTTGACATCTGAAAATGGATATTTAATCTTCTTTCCAGCTGGTGATGGTGAGTCCAACTTCAGAGCAATATGACAGTTTGCTCCGGCAGATGTCAGAGAGAATTGATGAGGGATGTGGGGAGACCATCTATGTCATCGGTCAAGGATCAGGTGAGTGTATCTTCCTCAGGAAAACAACAAAACCCATCGCAATTACAAGAAAAGCCTACTTCATCTAACTGGACTGCTGCTTGGAACTTGGAAACCTCCACAAAGTACAGGAGAACATGTGGGACAGATTATTTTATTCCTGTCAGCAACTGTCTTATGTAGTGGAGCTAAACATATTTTTTATATAAAATCATGCAAGTGCTTTTTTTTGGAAATAAGGCATAAGTTGTCTGGGCGCTCCAGGAAAAGATGAAGGATCTGAAATTACAGTAACAGTTTTAGTAGAGGCGTCCTCAGTGCCTGATAGAGGTCTTGTTCTGTCTGGTTTTATTCACTTCTCCATTTTAAATAACAATATTTTTAACCCATAGGAATGTGTTTGAGATACTTTGGATAACCAGAATGTATGCTACTGACTTACTTTGTTAATGTATGTCTGTACTATGGAAAGAAAGATTTCACTTTTCTCAGCATGAAGCCTTTATTGTCACATTAACTTGAGTGTGACCGCGTCATTTGTCTTTTCGAATTTTAGCAGTTAGCACACATTGCCTTTTGGTCTTCTCCACAATCTAAATATTTACATCTGATGATGGTATTGAACATGGCCTTGCTAGAAATTGAAATTTGTTTCTCTGAATGCAAAAAGCTTGTCTATGGCTATCATAAGGCTAAAGGCACATTTCAGATAGCTTGGATATCTGCTGGACATCAAGTTGTTATGATCAGAAATTTTACTAGTTATGAAGTTTGAGGAAGAGTACAAAACCTGGACATCACTGCCAGGGTTGGCTGAGATAATGGAGGGAGAGAGCTGTGTTACTTCAGAACTGTGTGCTTTTGGTGATTTCTTGATGTCTTGTGAAAAAGCCAATGTAGAAGAGAAGCCTAGAAAAGGCCAGTGGTCATACAGCCAGTATCACAGGCATAATGTTCTTGTCTCCAAGTGAGTTTCCCTCATTCTTGGTGTTTGGGATAACCACGTTTGCAGCAGAGATCTAGCTAGTCAGGCTAGTAACAGCTTTCTCTTTTAGGATACTTTGTGAGGGTGTTAACTGGTGGTTGTTGCACTGATGTACTTAGAAGTAGTTATTTTTTTACCTTAAAATATGAGCTAAAACGTCTAACTTCATTTTGGGTTGCTTTGTAGTCAAGGAAGATGGGGATCTTTTCTGTAAATTGGAAACAATAGCCAACAGAAAACAAATCTTGGTATCCCTGCCACTGTCACTCCTCATTCACTTTGAGTGTCTATGATTTTGATAATCATGTGTACCCAACTCAGATGACTGAGAAGCAAGTGAAGACTGCCAGGAAGCTCACTGCTTCATCAGTAGTGCCTCTTCCATTTATCCCTTGGCTCTTACCCTCTCTTTCCATTTATACCTTGGCTCTTGCTCTCTTCTGTCCTCTGCTCATTCCCCTTCTACAACCCAAGACCCCAGCCATGGTGCTTTTTGTTGTCTCCACCATCTCAACAGCTTCTCAGCCACCTCATGAGCTAGGTTAGAAAACACCCAGCAACTTTACTTGTTGGAGAGCTGTGCAGTAGTTAAAATGCTGATTAGTTCATGCAAACTGCAGTTACTGCTCATCAGCTGATGAGTCAGCCATGCATATGAATGCGCATACAGCAATAGCTTTGGTCATCCAGGTGCAGTGTAGCTTTCCACCTTTGTTGAAGGTTTTTTTACCTCGGAGGAGATCGTGGTCTGAAATCCATACAGCTTGTCAACACCTGGGTTAGGAGAGGAGCCAAGAGCTATGGTGGCCTTGAAATGGTCTCGATAGTTGCCGCAGGCTTGTTCTCACTGTCAATTCTTTGCCTGGGTGAGCTGTTCAGAGGCAGCAGTGCCTCTGTGCTTTTCTCTGTCAGCAATTCTTTCAAATGCCAGGGCGAAGGCAATGAGACATGCCAAAAAACATTGTTTTAACTGGAGAATGTAGGATTCTAAAGAAATTGCTGTGCAGGGAAGGCTTGCAGAAAATATGTATTTGGGATGTGGTTTCATAAAATAAACTGATTGTTTAAATTGGTCCTACATTCACTGGTTAATTGTGATGATATTTCCTTTTAATGCTTTTCCCTCGATTACAATGTGAGATGTTTTATCTGACTGAAGGAAATGGCATGCAAAGTATCTTCAGCATGTGATTGCAAACAAACTACCTTCAGCATGTGAAGTAAGGGAATCAGACAGAAATGGTTCTTTCTTGCCAATCCCTAAGTATTTGCTTGTAGAAATTGTGTAGAAAACTCATCTAGATGAAAGATGCTGCTTTTCTAGTATTTCTAAAGAGTTAGCATGAAGACAGTCCTTAGTTATTTGGGGCAAAGGATGCTTATTCTTTTTACATGGCTGACATTTCCAGTCCACATATAAATCCCAGTCAGTGCGAAAGTCCCAGGCAGAATGACATAGCTGCTGGCCATTGCAAGGTAATGCTCGCTGATTGTTCTTTGTCTCCCCAACATCACACTAGATGGGACTGAATATGGTCTGAGCGAGGCAGACATGGAAGCATCCTATGCCACGTTGAAGAGCATGGCAGAGCAGATCGAGGCAGACGTGATCCTCCTGCGGGAGCACCAGGAGGCCGGGGGAAAGGTGCGCGACTACCTGGTTCGGAAACGTGTGGGTGACAACGACTTCCTGGAGGTCAGGTGAGGAACCGGGTGGAGACAGGGTTAGTCAGCAGCCTGGCTGCATTTCTACCCTGTGAGCAGTGTGTGATGCTGAGCCAGCAACGCTGATTTGAGTCTGGGTGTTGTAGCTACCCAAGGGAATTGAGCTTGACCACTCCTTGCTAATGAAATTGCCATTTTGTTGTTGTTGCTGTCAGTTTTGTGAACAAACTGTTTGTGAAAGTTTGCCTGTGTTTAGCTAAGGGCTGTTGCTGTCTGAGTGACGGCTTCACAGTTTGGGGATCTTTTGTGTCCTGGAATCCCAGTAGGGAGTCACGTGTGTCTGTATGTATGTATCTATATGCACACTGCCGGAACACAGTGCTTTTGACTAAGGGTTCAGTTCTATTCCAAGACTATGATGATCCAAGTCACCTTTTAATGAACATATAATAGCTTGTGTAACATGACTTGAGATGGTTGGAATGGATTTCCAACATTTACCAACAGCCATAATAACCACCTTTATCAGAGACAAGGAAGGAGATTGTTGTAGGAGAGGCTTTTCCCCACAAATGTTTCATTGTTGTTTGTGCTTTTCCTTTCCTGGGAACAGCAATTTAAATTTTTGTATTTTTGTGCTCTCCCTAGCACCTGGTGCTATTGCAATGTGAAGAGTATGAGAAAGGCAGAGATACTCCAGACCAAGTGGGGATTTAGTCTTTCTTTCAATTTGCCACAGTGGGTATGCTGGATAGAAGAGACTAGGAATTGGAAGAGATACGCTGTATGGCATCAAGCAATGTCTAACTGTGTTCTGGACACTAGTGATTTGTTTCCACAGTCTTTCACATCCCACTCCTCAGAATCTGGGATCTCCACTGTTAGCTAACAACTGTGAAAGAATCTCTGCTTGTGAAGGTGTAACATTTTTGACTCTGTGTTTGAAGTTTAGGGAGACCAAACTCATTATTTACGTGAGCAGTGATGTTTGGGGTTGGTTTTATTTTGATTGTTTGTTTCTTCACGAATTATATTTTACCAGGTTCCTTTTTGCTTTCCCCTCCAGGGTAGCAGTGGTTGGCAATGTGGATGCAGGAAAAAGCACATTGCTAGGTGTCTTGACACATGGTGAACTAGACAATGGCCGAGGCTTTGCTCGGCAAAAACTGTTCCGCCATAAGCATGAGATTGAGTCAGGACGCACCAGCAGTGTGGGCAATGACATTCTGGGCTTCGACAGTGAGGGCAACGTGGTGAACAAGCCTGACAGCCATGGTGGCAGCTTGGAATGGACAAAGATCTGTGAGAAATCCACCAAGGTCATTACTTTCATTGACCTGGCTGGTCATGAAAAGTACCTGAAAACCACCGTCTTTGGCATGACTGGCCATTTACCTGACTTCTGCATGCTTATGGTAGGTAGCAAAAAGAATGTATTGTACCAGCAGGAGTGGGGCTGTTCACAGCTTTGACAGCCTCAATTTCTAATGTACTGCAAAGTCCCTGTGGGGTTGTGGAGGGAGGCAGCATCTCACAGAAGTGGAGAGCAGAAGCCACTGTGGGTATCTCACCAGGACTCTGAGGCAAGTGCCCCAGGACTGTCAGTCCCAGGCAGACATATGATTCTTGAAAACTGAAAGATTTCTAATTTCCAGAAAACCTTGTTAAAACTGAGGAGAAATTAGCCAGTGTCCAGCAGCACTTGAAATTAGATTGGTCTGCTCATACAGTCACAATGACACATCTACAACCTAATCACAGCCTACTGCATGTCTGACACAAGGCTTTCTCTGTAACCCAGCTTACAGGAAGAGGAACATTTACATCCCTGTGTCTTGTATCCCTGGTGTAGGTTGGCAGTAATGCTGGGATTGTTGGAATGACCAAGGAGCACTTGGGCCTGGCACTTGCACTTAATGTTCCCGTCTTTGTTGTAGTGACCAAGATTGACATGTGCCCTGCCAACATCCTGCAAGGTGAGTCCTACACGCTCTCTCCAGGGCTGTTTCTTACCTCTGAATGTTCTGTTGTCCTCTGCATGGGTTGCGGAATTACTGCTGGAGGAAAGCCGCTTTATCTGTTTTGACTGCACCTTAAACACTTCCCAGAGATCTGTCCTTTTCCATGGCCCATTTTGCAGGCATTTCACTCCTAGTCACTGTCTCAAAATTAACCAAGTTGGGGGACTCAGCTGGGCAACATGAAAATGTTTCTACATGGTTTTTCTCAATTGAGCTCTAAGGGGAGAAGCATACAATTAGGGTTGTGGCTTTGCTTTCTTTCTGGGTATTTAAGTCTGCAGGGAATGTCTGGAACTTCTCTTGAAAGCTGCTTTCCTTCTTGCCCACCATTTGAATGTGATCTTAAGCTGTGGTCAAACTTGTTTACCAGCAGCCGTTAACTGAAGGGGCAGCTGCTCGTTACATCCTGCTCACCTGGGTACTTCTCAGATAAGCTGACATAACTACAGCAGCTCCTTCCTCTGTCTGAACAACCAACCAGCACTTAATACATGGTTCAAAGCAGCCACATATATGGGCTATGTTAGCAGGACTGGACTGGACTAGACAAATGGGGAAGGCAGTGAGCAGCAGGGGCTAGTGACTGTTTTGCTCGGCAGCAGTTAAAGCAGCACCTCTAATCCCAGCAGTGTCCCTTTAACCTACGCTTTTTTCAGGTTGTGGCCAACTCTCACCTTTAAAATTCTCTTAGTTTGTTTCCCACAGCTCCAGGAACATGCTGTGGTTAATTGCAGCGATGGTGGGGGTGGTTTTTTTTATAATCAGTCCTAAGAATCAGGAAAGTGAATGCTCCTGGTACTGTCTGTGGTTAGTTCATTATCTGTGGTTAGTTCATTATTGTAAAAATCCCAACTGTGTTTCAGGTAAACAGATGCATGTCATCAGAAGGTAATCTGAATGTCTCTATAACATATGTTTGGCAAATAAATATAAGGCCTAACCATAAGATAATAACTGGGAAAGGAGAACATTTGGCTCAGGGTGAGAAGAGCTGCTTTTGGGAGAAGCCACTCCCATGTCATGTTCTGTTTAAATTAAATAGACACAAGATTTGACTCAAATGTATCTGTGAAGAGCAGATGGCATGATTAGATGTGTGTGTTTCTGTATCCAAAACATTACTTTCCCATAGGCAATTATTTGTTCACAAAAACCGTCTAATTGGATGTCAATTGTAGAATATAAATGATCTGCTCTTTTAAGCCCTTACTCGCCTTTTTTTCCCCCCTCATCTGTTGTAAGGCACTTTGCAGGAGGCTGATGCCAGTGCATCAGGTTAATGCCCCTGCTGGCTGATAAGTGTGAGGCTTAGAAAATATATTTAAAAGAGGCAAAAGATCAAAGTTGGGAGCCCTGAGATTTTTCCCAAAATATTTATTTCTGGATCTGATCCACCTACATTGTCCCAGTCTGTGACGGTGATCTTTGCCCCTTTCATGCTTCTCTAACCTTCTAGGGCAGGTTGATTGTTAGAGAAAGTGTGCCAAGTTTTGTTTGGTCAACATTGATTTCTGATTCACATGTTCTCAAATATTTCAATTCCTGAGTGCTGCTGGGTTTCATTGATTTCAATATGAAAAACCCTTTCTAGGAAGAGGAAATATCTTTTAACTGCTTAAAGATATTTAATAGACAGCCATAAAAAGTCTGCTTCACAGCATTGCACTTGTAGATGCAAACGTGTATGCCTGTTCATGTATGGTGTTGCTTGGCAGCAGGCTAGCAGGCACGAAATGGAAGATGGAATGGCTCCTAAGTCCCACCTGGGCTGTAGCAAACTCATAGTCTCACACACCTTTAGTCATCTTCTCCTGTCTATTTGTGGCAAAAACACCAGTCTCCCTTTGGGGAGAGACCCCACAATAGAAATCTGCAAAGACAGGAGGTGCTTCCCTAACAATATTCATTTCACCCTTTAAGAAACCCTGAAGCTGTTACAGCGACTGCTGAAGTCCCCAGGGTGCAGGAAGATTCCCGTGCTGGTTCAGAGCAAGGATGATGTCATTGTAACAGCCTCCAACTTCAGCTCAGAGAGGTAATGGAAGTAGAGGAGAGTTGTTTCTCTTTTGATCCTATTTGGAGACTGGGTGAGAAGATTCAGAAAGACAGTCTCATTGTTCAGATGTGTGAAGGTTGCATCTGCCATGTGGTGTGTTGATACCATAAGAATGTGTTGATTTTGAGGTTGACCTGCTTGTGTTCCCCTCTCTGAGACAAGTGAGAAGCTGCTTCTGGGCAGTCTGCAGAAGATGGCAGGTTATTCGGCTTCCTTCAGTCTTGGAACCTTACACCTTTTCCTGAATGTCATTAGAAGGCAGAGGCAATGTTACAGGTTTACAAAAGTGGGGTGTTGTGCCTCTGACTGCTTGCCAGGCTCTCCCTTTCTAGCACTGTGTATTGAGTCTCAAGATTTTGGATGTCTCCTACATGTGGAATCCCAGGCAGGGAGGTGAGCTAACTCTGTTTTCATCAATTTTCCTTCACAGGATGTGCCCCATTTTCCAGATTTCTAATGTCACCGGGGAGAACCTAGATTTGCTGAAGATGTTTCTTAATCTCTTGTCTCCACGGACTAGTTACAGGGAAGAAGAGCCAGCAGAATTCCAGATAGATGATACTTACTCTGTCCCGGTAAGGGTCCTGCTATTTGGAAGAATTTTCTGCCTGTTCTAGGTTGAAGAAGGTATCTTCCCTAGAGAGGGGAGTTCTAGAGCTCTTCTGCTAGCATGGTCAAGTAACCCCATTTACTGTTTTTCCTTTTTTTGGTGTAGGGTGTAGGAACAGTGGTGTCTGGGACAACACTGAGAGGCCTCATCAAGCTAAATGACACCCTGCTGCTGGGGCCAGATCCCCTTGGCAACTTCCTACCTATTGCTGTCAAGTCTATCCACCGCAAGAGAATGCCTGTCAAAGAAGTGCGGGGAGGTCAGACTGCCTCCTTTGCTTTGAAAAAGGTGAGATGTTTGGTTCTAAACCCTCAGAGTGCTCTTGGACTTGCTGCAGTAAGACTGCTTCTGCAAACCTCAGCTGCCTCATTTCGCAACTGAATGAAATCCCTAAGAACTTTTCTGGGTCCCACATCCCGATTGTTCCACCTTACAGCTGCCAGGTGGTAGCAGTGGGACCCAAGGTAATCAGGGTTAGTGTTGGAGATGAGATGTCTAACAAAGTGGGGGCATTGGAAGAAAAGTTTCCCTTTGTGCTAGAACTGCATTAGTGTCCTGAACAGTGTATTTGCACTATTCCTCTCAGCTTGTAGGACCAACTGTATGATTTGGGGTTTAACAATTAACAGCATTTGATGTGATTCTTCTTGCAGAAGGTTTCTGTCAATAAATGCTGCACTGATTTTAAGGGGGTATAATTTAGGCTATACCAAACTTCATGTGTTCAGACTTATCGTGTTGTGTTAACAGACATCACACTTTCAGAGAGATCGTTTGCTTGGATAATACACAAGCAGGCTGTGTGTTTTGCTTTTAAAGGATTAGTGAGTTAAAACTTCTGTGTCAGTGTCAAGCATTCCCAGCACTGTAAAGCTTCCTTAGAAAATTCAGCTGAACTTGATTTTTGCAGCCTTTGCATAGCATCATTACACAGTGCTAAACAGTTCTTGCTTTGCCTTTTGGTGAGCATGAGTTGGTGAGCATCTGTGAAATCCCTTAGGATCCTTCTGGATGCAGTCAGCCAGAGAAGCAAATTTCTTCCCTGGAGAATCAGCCAAGTTTTTATGTGTCTCTGCTTTTCAGATCAAGCGTTCTTCCATCCGGAAAGGCATGGTAATGGTGTCACCCCGCCTGAATCCACAAGCATCGTGGGAGTTTGAAGCAGAGATTCTGGTGCTCCATCATCCCACCACCATCAGCCCACGGTATCAAGCCATGGGTACGTGTCTCAGTGTTGTCTCACCTTTGTTTCCCAGTGGTAACAGTTTGTATCAGTTCTAGCCTGAGGTGATTTTGCTCCTGCAGGTCTGTGAACCTGAATATACGCCATAGTTCGTGTTTTTACCTTTGCCAGCAATGTGTTAGAGAGAGGGGAGGGATCTGACAGAGAATGGGGGAGGCTGTAAGTAAAAAGGAGATGTGTGACTCCAAGTGTACTTAGAGCCTGCCTGAGACAGATCTCCACGCTGCAAAGATTGTTCAGCTTCAAATGCCGATGGAAGGACTCATTTTGAGTCCTTTAGTTCCAGCTGCTTGGTGTGTAGGATTCTGTTGAGGGTTTTTCAGGCAAGTCTCTATTTGGAGGCGACTGTTCTAGCTTATGTGTGTTTTCTTTTTGAGGACTGAACAAAGGCAGCTGTGTGACCCCTATAGTTTTTGCTACACAGTAGATTTTTACGTTCCAGACTCATCCTGTTAGCTGTAGGGTAGCAAGAGCTGCCTTAAATGTGTCTTTGGAGTTTATTCCCCTGATGGCGCTGGCTGCTGAAAGCTTTTCTGTGTTCCATTCACAGTGCATTGTGGCAGCATCCGTCAGACAGCCACGATTCTCAGCATGGACAAGGACTGCCTGAGGACAGGGGACAAAGCCACGGTGCACTTCCGCTTCATCAAAACCCCAGAATACCTACACATAGACCAGCGGCTGGTCTTCCGTGAAGGCCGCACCAAAGCTGTGGGTACCATCACTAAGGTAAAGCCTGAAGAGTTGGGGTTTTTTTTTTTGAGTTAGCTACTTTTGGCACTGAGAAGCCAGCAGGATAATCTGGATAGCTCTGGAATATGAGGGAAGAGGCCGTCCTTCAATCGCAAACATCAGCCCATGGGTTACACATGAGCAGTGTGCTTTGTTATATGGTCGGTCTTGAGCTGATGTGAATGAAGGAATGTGAAGGTGAGAGGTGAGCCAGATGCCTCTGGTTCTTAAGGCTCAGTCTCTTTCTGACAGTAGCTGGTCCCTTTGTGGTAGCTCATTCTCTTCCTGGTAGCTGGTCCCTTTGAGTCATGTTGTGGAGGGTTGAGTGTCACCTCAGCTGAGTGGTCCTTTCCATTCTGTAAGGGTACTTGAGGGCAGTTCAGAGACCTAGTTTTCTTTGAATAGCTGCTGCTGCATTCTTCTCCTGATGGCTATTGGGACGAGTTCTCTTGGGCTTTTTTGTTAAAAAGCAGCGTTGAACCTTACCAGATTGGCTCAGGTATTTTAATGCTGATCTTGGCCTCTCCCTTTGCAATTTGCAGTTACTCCAGACCACCAATAACTCCCCAATGAACTCCAAGCCACAGCAGATCAAGATGCAGTCAACCAAGAAGGGAGCCGTTACGAAACGAGAGGATGGTGTTCCTCCAGCTGGGACAGCGTCTGGGGGCCCACCAGCTGGGGACGAGGCCCCCTCAACAGCTGCAGCGCCAATGACACCTCCTGCCCTGCAGCCATTGGTGAGGAAAATGCCCTGTTTGTCCTAGCTGTTTACATCCTGGTTTCTTCTATTGGAGGAAGGGTACTCTAAAGCACAGGCATTGTCCCCTCACCTTGGGTCTCAATGTGCCACAGAAACAGAGAAATATAAGTAGTCTCAGAGCAGAAAGCAAAATCCTGATGGCTGGATGACTGCTCATGGCTGACCTTTCAGCAGGTAGCAGCTTAGGTTGGACCTCAATTCAGGGTGTACTTCAGGAAGTGTCTACTTTAACCTCCTGCTCTAAGAAGGATTAGCTGTGAGGTCAGACCAGGGTTGCTCAGAGTTTTATCCAGTCATGTCTTGAAAATTTCCAAGAAGGAAGACTGCACAGCTTCCCTTGGCAGCCTGTTTTACTACTTGACTGTGCTCACAATGAAAAAGCATGTCCATACACCCAGTAGCTGAACTAGTGGAGCATCTAACAGCCAGTCACAGAATACATTTCTGCTTTCTGAATGAGAGGTAGAGCATCCCTACACTAGGGAAATTATGAGCTAAGTACTACTGTTAGGCACAGGTCACTTGCATTGTCAAGGAGGGAGGATGAAGACATCTGTGAAGGAAAGACATATCTCTTTCTAAAGAAATTCGTCTAGGTTGTTTTGTTGGTTAGTACTTCTCAGCTCAGCTTGTCCAAGAAGGATACCTGGCCTTTCTGGTCTAAAAGGAACTCAGTTCTAACTGCAGGCTTTGGGAGCTATTTATCAGCTTTATTACTGGTAGAAGAAAGGTCTTTTCCTTTTAGTATGCTTTTCTAGTAAGTGAAAAGTTCAGGAACTGACTCTGAGATTTGATCAGTGTTACCCCCCTTAATTTTAGCTATCTTAGTTGCCATTGCTCAAATCAAGCCCTCTTGAGGCAGGCTGGCTGCTGAAAGAGGGCCCTCTGGCAGGGGTTCTGTCATTTGCCTGTGGCTTCTTACTGATCCCCCATCTTCTTCTTGTCCTGATGTAGCATCTCTGTGGTTGTAAATAGTGCTCCCAGCTTGCTGTTTCCCCCCTCCCCCTGAGAGTCTGTGTTGCTTTTGTTCTTGCTTACCTCTGCCTCTCTCTCTTTGCTGCTTCCCCTCAGCCTGCACTGGATGAAGAGCCCCACATCCGTGAGGGCAATAAGGTATTTGGCTGCTTTAAAAAGAGAACGGTGGGTTTGCTGGCCTGAGGCTGGGAACAGACTCAGGTTAAAAAGACAAAGGGGGGCAGGGTCTCTCCTTCCATCCTGCATAAAGCCAAGGGAGCCTGAGGCCTTGATTTCCCAGGTGCTGAGCCCCATGGTACCTGATGACTGTCATGGGAGTGAAGCATTCAGAAAATTAGGAAATCAGGTCCTCTCCAGCTGGTAGGACTGAATTTCACAGGGTATCTGTCTCTCCTCCTTTCTTCATGGTGTGTCTGCCTGCCTTATCTCCTTCCTGCAGTGGTAGGAAGCTGGTCATTCACAACTGCCCTGCTGCTTGTCCGGATGTGTGTGTAATCCATCTGGATTCCGATTCAGAGGTTGCTGTGCATTAAAGTGCATCTTCTTGTTTTTCAGTCTAAAGTTGGAGGAGGAGGACGGCGACGTGGAGGTCAGCGCCATAAAGTGAAGTCTCAGGGAGCCTGTGTGACTCCTGCCAGTGGCTGCTGAAATTTCTTACTCCTCCCTCTGAGGAATTCCTCCCCTTCCCTTCATCTGTTATCCAAAAGATCGAGAGCAGCTTAAACCAAAACCCATCCAGCTGATTGGCTGCAGAAGAATCGTCCCTCCTCTCTGAAGGAAGCGATGGAGAGGAGAATAATTTATAAGCTAATGAAGGTGATGAGACACACAGAACTGAGTAACTGACACCTTCTTCCTCTCCCTATTGACACATTTTTGTACATCATGGGCTTAGTTTTTATTCTTAGTTTTTATTATATTTTGTGTGCATGAAGATGAGAGGAGAGTCTGGATAGAACTGTGAAGAGCCAGTTAGCTGCCTCCCTCCTCCCTCACCCCATTCTGTCCACAGGACTTGCTGCTCTCCTCCTCTTTGCTGTCTCAAATGCAGGGGTTATCAGACGCTGGAAATTCCAGACTTGCAAAGGTTAGAACACATCGCTTAGGATGGCTCCACAGGGCATTGTTTCCTCACCACTGAGGCCCCATACCAAATTTCTGGATTCTGTTTCCAAGTGGGTTTAATATAATGTTGTAGTGACTGAAGTTTGAAGGAGATGGTAAGAAAAAGTTACTTTGGAGATCTGACAGGGAAACAAATTGGAAAGCAGTTTTTGATGTTGAGGAATCCCATACTGAAAAACCTTCTGAAATACATTAATAGCACTTAAGATTTTATTTAGAGACAGAATTAAATGGGCAGGCATTTGCCCATCCTGTTCCCCTTCCCATCATGCTGCTTTTTCCTCATTGTTTGCTCAGTGCACATTGGATTAAATCAAAGCTGCCTCTCAAGGCTGCAGCAGCTCAGTTGACAGTATTAAGAATATATTGGAGGAACATGTGTTCTGTCTCTAGAGCCTGAGAAAGCCACCTCACTTCGATGGACAGAGATCACAGGTGGTTACACACCTTTAGAACAGAGACACCAGGCAAATGTGACCTCCCCTTGGTTTTTTTACTCCAGTATTTCCTAAATCTTTTCTGGAACTCAGTGGCCAAACTTTGCCATGACAGCAGTAGGATTTGTCTTCTCCCCTCTTGGTCGAAGAGGGCAATAATGGCTTGCTACCGAACTTAACAGAAGTGCTTTCAGGTTTGGAAGTACATGGTAATTTTTCTTTCTTTTTTTTTTTAAAGAAAAGATTGTAAGGTGTTTTCCTTTTTTTATGACAAATTCTGGCTTTCCTAGGAAGGCCCTGCAAGGACGGTCTTTGAATTAACTTAATTGTTACGATGTTCATTAACCCTGGGTTGTGCACGTGATCAGTTCCCTGCTGATCTCTCTTCTAACCCTGCCTCTTGGCTCCTGCAAGGACAGAAGTTCTCTGCCAGCTTGTGGTGAGCTGTTGAAGTGTGGGAGCATTTTGAGGGAGGAGGTGGCATCCTCAGCAAATCGGTGCTCTCCCCAGCTGATGCGGTCAGCCTCGGTTTCTTTGAGGGCTTCCTCCTCCAGTGAAGGATTCTGTTCTAATTAGAGGGTGACTGTAAGGTGTCTGCTCCTCCTTAGCGGGTTGTTCCTGTTTCTCACTCTGTGACACCTGCGTGGAGTTCATTCCAGTTCACCTTGTGATTGGGGTAGGCTTTCAAGCTGACTGAGCAACAGCAGGCCTCCCGATGCCAGCACCAGCACTCCAAGAGCATTAAGTGGCATGGGAGAGGTGAGGAACGTGGTTTAGGAGACGAGGGTACTTTGCCTTAGGGACTGCAGTGGCTTGAGCATGGTGGAAGGGGTGGTCAGTCAGTCCTTTCCAAGCTATGTGCCTAAATACCAGCACTCTCCTAGTGAGGGAGGAACTATAGGCAGCTACAACACTCAACAGCACCCGCATTGTGAGAGGGTGTGAAGTGTTGCCAAGCAGGGCACGAGGGCCTGGTTGGGTTGTCTTCTGGCCCTGTAGCAGCATCAAACTGCATCTGATTTCACTGCCCTCTGCGTCTGAGTGGAGCAGGGAACGCAGGGCGGTTTTCTCTTTCTTCATTCCTTGTGCTCCGAATGAAGGAGACTGCCGAGACTGGAAGAGGATTTACTTCAGTTTGTGCAAAGGAGGTGGTGTGATCTCTCTTTTGTGACCAGCATTTAAAGATCACTCAGGCTGGTGTGATCTATAAAATAAATTTTAAAGAAGTTTGTTCCAAGTTAAAGTATGTCTTGTTGCAGTTTGTCCTTCTGGAAAACCAGCGCTTGCTGCTGCAATGCCGAAAGCCAGACCAAGAGGGTTTGCCTGGCACCAGGCTCTCTTGCTGGCTCCATTTGTAGAGAAGGCAGGGGAGGGCATGCCATACCACACCACAGGAAAGTGTTGCTGAGGGACATGTACATGTGTGTGTGAAGAGGTGCTATAGCAAATCACTTGAGGCCAGCTCCATCGGAGACACTTTGCCAGAGGATGCAGTTACAGCACAGCACTTCCATTGCCTGTGTAAGCTTGTGCTCCATGTGGCCTCGCTAGGACTTGCACCTCGCCTGTTTGTGTAAATACAACAGGAGTCTCCAGGGCTTGCAATGGGCCTTTTACTGCCACCTCAGTTGATCTCAGAGGTTCATGAAGGCTGTTCCTGCCCTGCACAGCTCTTTCAAAGGTAAGTGTTGGACTGGGAGCTGGTGGTGGATGGAGGAAAGGCCCATGCATCCCTTCTGTTCCTCGAGAGGGCTGGTCCAGGGCCAGGAGAGAACAACACCCTTCCCTAGGGTGGCCAGTGAAAAACTGCATGGGCACACATCAACACAAGCCTGCCTCCAGCCCATCTTGGTTAAGCAGATACTGGTGTGGCTCTCCTCAAGCTCAAGGCAGTCCAGTTTCCCTTTCTGCAACCAGTTTTCTTTATACTCAGGTTAACTTCCTCATGGTGAGAACAATTAAGTACTTCCTTTCTACTTGCTCTTTAGCTGCCTGCTGAGTAATTTACACCCCATGTTTAAGGAAAGGAGAGCAACCTGCAGCTACCCTTAACTTGGGAGATAGGTCAGGCTTTGTCCTTGCCTTCCCTGCTGCCTCAGTCTCATTTACCACTCCTCAGGGCACAGCCTGGCTCTGCTCCTACGGAAGGATGGAATGAGCATGCAACCATGGACCACCACAGACTACTTACTGGAAGTTACTAATGACTTGAATTCCTTAGGATTTTAAGTCTTGTTTTTATCATTACTCCATGCAGTTTTTGCATCCGAGTCTGTTTGATAACAACATGAAAAAACTTCTTTCCCTAGAGTTAGTATGTCAGGCTAGAAAATAAGGATTTGCCATAAGAATACATAGAAAAGCTACAGGAGTAGCTTGTGCATCATTCCCACCAGCAAATTCACCTACATCACACCCAAAACACAGCAGTTTTTGATATAATTTATTTGTCTTGGTTTGTTTTTTTTCTTGCATAGGCATAAATTACAATCTGTTGATTAAAAAATAAAATGAACAAAACAGTGCAGCATTTGCAACAGGCTACAGTATCAAATACAAACTCATCTCCTGTGCAGGGAAAACTGAGGAGGGAGAACAGAGGATAGAAACAGAGTAAAATAAGGGAAATCTGCTCTGACAGCTGTTTCCCATTTCTCCTGCCTCACCAGGCTCATCTCCAGCAGCACGAGGATGAAATACCTCTGGGCAGAGATGCACGTGCTGAAGCAGCAGTTTGATGTGCCTTCTTTCCCTCTGCAGCTCAGGAAGGTGTTGCAGCAATGGAGAGCAGCTGCCTGAGTGCTCTGACTGCAGCCTGGCACCCATGAGCAGAGCTTGGGTGCTTGACAAACCGTGTGTAGTCTCACCATGCCTTCCTGGGACTCCTCATGCAGTTGGCATGAGGAGACCTCCAAAACCAGCACTAACCCCTGCATAAACCCCAAGGTGACCTCTCACTGATGGCTCCAGGGGTTTTTAACCTCAGAATAGCACACTTTTATCTCCAAAGGACAGGGCAGGCTTGCCCTGTAAAGCCAAATGCGCCCTACCCCACAGCCAGTGGTTAACAGCAGAGACCCAGCTCCAGTTCCATTCTTGGGGAAAGAGGTTCCCTGTTTGCCACCTCTCACCACCATGCCCGATTTACCAGAGAAGCAAGAAGACCCTGTCCATCCTGGCAGCCCAACCCAGGGGGCAGGGAGCTAGAAGGGAAGTAAGATAAAGGGGTTTTCCAGCCTTGTGGTTATGGCATTTGCTCCAGCAGCCAAAGAACCCCTGTGGAAGGGGGAGAGCTTCATCTCTGCTCTCTATCACTCAAATACAGGGGCTGCTCTGCCCAACCCAGGCCAGGCAGGCCTAGGCATTTATAAAAGCACAACGCCATGTGCGCAGGGCACTCATGGACATGACTCCCAGGCAAGCAGGCAGCTGCAGACAAGTTTAAAATAACTCTGGCTGTAGCTGCCAAGAATTAAGACTATGCTCAATATAGGAGAGAATTTATCCTTGCTGGATCTGGCTGCGGATCTCCTTTCCCCCAGCAAAAGGGCCTCCCAGTGCTGCAGAGAGCTCCATGGGGTCACTTTAAGCTGTTGGAGATGGGGCTGCATGCTTCAGGCTCACATTCCTAGCTCGGAGCAAAAAGACCCCTCCAGAAGGGATGTGCTAACATCATCCTCATCCCCTCCATGTGGCATGGAGTGGGTCAGAACTCAGCCCCTCTGCCCAGCGTACACTGGAGCATGCTGAAGGGAGACACTTCTTCAGCCCATTCCCCTCCTCTTTATCCCTCACCCTACAGTGCTTCAAGCAGAAAAGACCATATGAGAATCAATTCATTATGCACCCCTAACTGCTGGTGGTGCCAGGGGGAGGATGATGCCAGCATCAGATAGGGCCAAAATACTAAACATGAGCCCTTTAGCTTTTATTTCAACAAAATATATGACAAATGTGGAGGCTTTAAGTGCCATCCAAGAACGTAAGCCAAACTAGGGGTGATGCAGGCAGCCAGGAAGCAGAGTGGCCAGATGGCCCTGGCACTCCTCAGCTCAGGGAAGGCCCTCATGCAACCTTCCTGCAGTCCCCTGCCACAGGGGAGGACTTCCTGCTGTCCCCTGTCCCCTATCACAACCCTATGGATAGAGGCAGGATTTACATGCCCACTGCAGGCAGAACTCCCCCTTCTGTTCCAGCATGGTCAGGGAACCGAGCCACGCTGGTCAGGAGGAGGCAGCAGGGAAAGGGAGCCCTTCCAAGAGAAAGATCACCCTGTGCCAGCCATCTGCCACTGGGGACCAGGAGGTGACAGAGGCAGCCCTGAGCACCGCAGGTGGGGGAGGCC